CCCTCTCCCTCCCCTTAAATAACTTCTAAGGCACAACCCCCTCCCTCTAAGGTATCTCTGGAATACAGTTTGAAAATCGCAGATATTATTCTGAACTTTTTGTCAGTGATGATCCATTTTAGAGATTAAATATTTGGTGAGTTTCTGCATACCCCACCTTCTAAATTCCCCAATAGGTTCATATACAAATGAATGACTCAGGTGAATTGGCAGCACTGGGCTTCCTTGAGGGTTATCTTGTTTTGTTTAGTGTAGATGTTGATCAAATTATTTAAATTTAAACCCCCCAAACCAATGCACATTTGTCTGAGGGTTGGTGATGACCTTGAGTACAGGTTCTATGGCTTGTAGTTTAGAATGTAGTTGAATGGAACCTTAAAGAGGGAATGTCACCTGCTTTATAAGCCCTACAGGTTATTTGTAAGGTATTGGGGCAGTAGCTGCTAATCATGTAAAAGGTGACACATGTTTAAAGTTTTGAAACGTAAGAGTGCATGGATGTTTGGTGTGATAGAAAATGCAACAGGTTTACCTCCTTTAAACCAGAGAAGAATTTGAGAAAGGAGGAGAAAAAGGGTAATAGGACTAAAATTAATTTTAAGCCTGTGGGTAAGAAGTTAGAAACAGGTATAAAAAACTGAAAAACTGAACACAATAAAAGATGAAAATGGGAAACCTAGATATATTTAAATTAGCCTATAAAGTGAATGTCTCCATTATATGTACAACTCTTGTCCCTTCCCATGAATCTTAACGTTTCTCACCGATGTCCTAATATTACTACCTGGTGCTAACCTCTGACTTCATTCTCACCTCACACACTGTCTGTGTGCACACACTTAGGGTTACTCATTCTGTGACAGTATTAAGATTCTTGTTTTCTTATATTTGGTCTTATTTGCCATTCAGATAAGAGAATTGACTGAGTGCTTATTGAGTACATTTATTGAGTACCCACTATATTGCATATGCTGTGCTAAGTATATTTCTGGCATGTTTCTCATTTAGTCCCCACAGTCCTCCTATGACTATATTATCGCATTTTAAACTGATGAGAAAATTGATTCTTGGAATAAATAACAAGCCAAGGGATATGGTAAATAATGGACCAGAGTTTGACTCTTGGTCTGTTTCTTCAGAGATCCATTCTTTTTAGGAAATTATCATCCATTTCTACTTACAGAATAACCCTAAGTGTGTGCACACAGACAGTCTGTGAGGTGAGAATGAAGTCAGAGGTCACAGCACCAGGTAGTAATAGTAGGACATGAGTGAGAAATGTTAAGATTCATGGGAAGGGACAAGAGTTGTACATATAATGGAGACATTCACTTTATAGGCCAATTTAAATATATCTAGGTTTCCCACTTTCATCTTTTACTGTGTTCAGTTTTTCAGTTTATTACCTGTTTCTAACTTGTTACCCATACATTACGGGCTTAAAATTAATTTTAGTCCTATCACCCTTTTTCTTCTCCTTTCTCAAATTCTTCTCTGGTTTAAAGAAGGTAAACCTGTTGCATTTTCTTCTTTACTGTAATGATAATGCATTAAATAAAATAACATTTTCCCCAAAGGACTGTTCCGTTTCCTCATACTAGAAAATTTTGCCTAAGAGAAAGTTTTTACTAATTAATCTATTTGTCATTTTTTTTTTTTTGGACGGTTGGCCAGTACAGGGATCAAACCCTGGACCTTGATGTTATCAGCATGACACTCTAACCAATTGAGCTAAGCAGCCAGCTCCCCTATGTCCTTTTTAAAAACAATCTTACATATCCTAACGTGTATATCCAGTGAAGAGAAAGTTTTTACTAATTAATCTATTTGTCATTTTTTTTTTTTGGACGGTTGGCCAGTACAGGGATCAAACCCTGGACCTTGATGTTATCAGCATGACACTCTAACCAATTGAGCTAAGCAGCCAGCTCCCCTATATGTCCTTTTTTAAAACAATCTTACATATCCTAACATGTATATCCAGTGAAGTATTTAATGAATATTATCCCAAGTAAGTTTGACAGTTTGTACATGTACTGTATCTCCCGACCCCACCCCTCTTCTGGACATAGCCAGTGTATGTTAACATTTTAATTGTTCTGAGAAGCTTAAAGAAATCTAACTTTATTCCAGTTGAAATTTCCCCACACCCCATTTAGAAAGTAGTCTTCTTAACTTATCATTGAACTGGTGTTTGTTGGAGTATACTTTAGAAAATTATATGGAACCATTTAGAACATTACATATTCTGTGGTTTCTTAGCTAGAAAATGCTGTTTCTAATACAGCTGTAACAGAAATGTAATATTTTGTTTGATTTTTTGTTTATTCAAAAGTGGCTAGTCAAGATGTAAGATGGAATTCAAATGGGATCCTGCCATGCTTAAGAATTGGATGTCCTTTTTTAAAACAATCTTACATATCCTAACATGTATATCCAGTGAAGTATTTAATGAATATTATCCCAAGTAAGTTTGACAGTTTGTACATGTACTGTATCTCCCGACCCCACCCCTCTTCTGGACATAGCCAGTGTATGTTAACATTTTAATTGTTCTGAGAAGCTTAAAGAAATCTAACTTTATTCCAGTTGAAATTTCCCCACACCCCATTTAGAAAGTAGTCTTCTTAACTTATCATTGAACTGGTGTTTGTTGGAGTATACTTTAGAAAATTATATGGAACCATTTAGAACATTACATATTCTGTGGTTTCTTAGCTAGAAAATGCTGTTTCTAATACAGCTGTAACAGAAATGTAATATTTTGTTTGATTTTTTGTTTATTCAAAAGTGGCTAGTCAAGATGTAAGATGGAATTCAAATGGGATCCTGCCATGCTTAAGAATTGGTGGAATATTAAACTACTTGAAAAATCATATATTCTCAGTCTTAAATTATATATATATATATATAATTTTTTTTCCCCCTGTCCAGTAAGGGGATTGCAACCCTTGGCATGGCGTTGTCCACACCACAGTCAGCCAGTGAGTGCACCAGCCATCCCTATATAGGATCCAAACCCACGGCCTCGGTGCTACCAGCGCTGCACTCTCCCGAGTGAGCCATGGGGCCGGCCCTTAAATTATATTTTTAAACATGGATTAAGTTGGGAAAGGATATGAATAAATTATTTGGGGATCTTCTTTTGTTTTAAGATAGATTTGTGGTTCTTTGTGAAAATGTTAACTTATTATTTTTAATTTGGTGATATTTTTATTCCTGGGAAGATAGAAGATTGGTTATTGTTTGAGTTTGGTAGTTTTGATGATGAAAAAAAAACCAGTGAACTTATCTCTCCTGAATTGCTGGTATAAGCAATTTATTGAATATACTGAATTTTATTTACTAACAGTAAAATTTTGAAATGTTTTTGTGTAGTTGATTCATTTAGTTCTTGATATAGGGCATTAATTAGCATGTCACATAGAGAAAGAATAAAGAGCATTTGGGCCTTGGAATTATACAGAATTGAATTTGATTTTAAGTATTACCTTGAGTATGTTATTTAATATTTATTCATGTGTTTGTTGAGAAATAACTATATGCTAGGCGCATGGTGGGAGGGTGAGATAGGGAGAAGATATGCCAGTCTTTAAAGAAATCAGAGACTAGTAGCATTCATTCAGCCTCTCTGAATCTGTTCTCTTGTTGGTAGAATTGAGAAGAAAGAACATAAAATGCCTGAGATGATACTTAGAGGAACAGTATATGCTCAATAGGAATTAGGTTATATATTTGTCTGTCATTCATCCTGTTTAATCATAAGACTAATCAGAGACATGAAAATATGAATTAAATTCCTTCCTTGTTCAGGGGCTACAATCCCTTGGGAGATTTAAGTTGCCTAATGTGATTCATTCATTCATTCAAATTTTTGTTGAGCTTCTGTTAAGTTCAGGAATTGTTCTGGTACCTGAAGCACTTACCAAGCTTCTAGAATTTGAGGACCCAGTGCCATTTCCTTGTGCTGTTTGCTCTTGGTTTTAATTTTTGACTAAGCATGACAACAGTTTGTCAAAACTCCACAAAAATTACTTGTATTAGCCTAATGAAAATACTTGCTGTCTTTTAAAGGAACAAATCTGTAATTTGGGACAACAGCCACCATCTAGAGCAGGGGTCTGCAAACTTTTTTTGTAAAAGGCCATATATTCTAGACTTTATGGGCTTTACTGTGTCTGTTGCAGTTACTCAGCTCTGCCATTATAATGTGAAAGTAGTTGTCTTACTACATAAATGAATGAGTATGGCTGTGTTCCAGTAAAACTTTGCTATGGACACTGAAATCTGAATTTTTTATAATTCTCATATTACAAAATATTCTTTTTGTTTTGAATTTTAAAATTTTCATTCACTTAAAAATGTAAAAGTTATGCCTAGATCACAGGCTGCACAAAAAATAGGTGACCAAACAGATTTGGCCCATGGGCCATAGTTTGCTGACCCCTGATCTAGGGCATAATCTCTGGACTTGCTATAGTTGTTGGATAATAATTGCCAGGCATTTAGGTGAATGGTCCTTTTTAGCAGGAACTGTGTATGTCAAGGTTTGTGTTCTGCCACTTTTTTCTCATCCGAGCTTTCTCTTATAGACCAAGTATGTAAGAGTAGTAGAAAACTAATAGGAAAAACTACTTAAGGTGATTTTTTTATTGTTTTCCCTATCCACTTTTTTATTGTTTTCCCTGTCCAGTTAAGAATTTGAAGGGCATCTTGTAAAGGCTAATTACTCTCAGATTTCTCATCCATCTCAAGTCAAATACTGTAAATGTGAATTTTAGATAATATGCAAAAGGTCTTCTGTACTTAGAATTTTAAAAATTTGCACAATAGGAAATTTTATCTTTTAAACAAATTGTATGTAAATAACTACATTTACATCTCATGATCACTGAACACTATTTAATTGGCCTTGAAAATAAAAATGACTTTTATACTGACTATAATAATTTTTTATGTTAAAACTGTAATTTACAATTCTCTTAACTTGCTTTCTATAGACACCAGAGAAGAAACAATCGGAATCATCCAGGGGAAGAAAGCGAAAAGCAGAAAATCAGAATGAAAGTAGTCAGGGTAAGCAAAGCAACATCTTCCTTCAGAGCCCTGTAGGCATTTACTTTTAGTTGTTCTGATTTTTAATCAATTAATATTCTAATTGAAAAGTAATTTCTTCTTATTTTTTCTCATTCATGTTTTTGTGAATTCTATAGTTTATAATTTTATAGTTTATGCATTAATAATAGTTTAGCAATGTATTTTGCATTAGAAATAAAAATATGAAATTCCAGTCTTTTTGTACCACACAAAGTTAATGTATGGTTACTGTTTTTAGAGTTTTTGATGCTTGTTTTTTTATTTGGGTCCTAGAAAGACAAATGTGTCCAACTCTTGCTAGCACTAACTTATCACCTCTCATTTTTCATTCTTCATATGAATTATGGTATTTAAAGGGTTCTTGTTTTTAAATAAAAACTTTAAATCTCAATTTAAAACAAGTACCCAAACTTACTCCTCCCTTTTATTTTAAAAAAGAAAAAGTATATATGAAAATAAAGAGAGACTGTAATTAAAGCACCATCTTTTTTTTCATACCTATTCTTGCATATCTACTTTTTGTGACGTGAGCTAAGAAAACTATTTTTCTTACACTACAGAATCTCTTGTAATGGAGAGCAAAATAGTGTTGTCAATTAATTTGAGCACTCAAAATTAAATACAATAAATTGGGCTATTAAATCATGTATAATGATGATTTTGTACCTAACGTTACATGTGTTGGAGCCAGTCTTTAGTCATAAGATCGAGGGCTGGGAACCCATGGCTTACTGGTTTATGTATGGCGCTAGAATCAAGGAATTTATTTGCAGCAGCTGTCTTTGCGGAAGGAAGGGATTAAGTCATTTAAGGGCCTTTTCTCTAGTTGTGTATCTGAATTTGCACTGGGCTACTTTTTAGTCTTAGTGTAGTTTCTCCACGTTGTGGTTAGTGGACTTGGAGTCTTATTTATTGTAGGAATATATTAAGTATGGTTTCAACTGCAGATAAAAAAAACCTCAAAGGGTAAGCCCCAAAAGAGAGTGGGACTTCTGGGTTAATTGATCCAACCTGTCTTAAGGACCCATTTTTTTCTGTTTGTGGTCTGCCAGCCACAGAATTATCTGATTTTCTCCTGATTTTAGGGTGGTTGCCTAAGTTGAATTTACTTGTTTCATCTTCCTCACTCACATTTGCTTTAGAGAGAGAGGTTAGCTTTGTGTGTGCGTGTGCATGCACGCGCGTGCATGTGTTTTCCCCTTCCTCCTCCTTTGGAGTGAGCTTCTTCAAGTCCAGAGCAAAACTCTCCTGTCCTCTTACTGACTAGATTAAGTCATATATCCATTTCAAAACCAGTTATGTCCAACAGAGGTACTATTGCCCTTACAAAAGTCAGACCCATCTCTGAAACTGAACATAGGGTAAAGTTCCTGTGAAAAATATAGGCTGTGTGGAGAAGGGAGGTTACCTGAATGGAATTGGAATTCTGATAGGAAAGGGAGAAGGGGAACTGGGAAGTCAGCTTTCCCTGAAATTACATGTGTTATACAGGGAAAGGGGTGTTAACAGAACAAACTTTGGGTTCAATTAAGGAAAAAGAATTGGAGAAATAGATTCTAGGTAGGCAAAACATCAAAAACATCTTTGTCTTCATTAAAAATTAGCATTCTTCAGAATCATTTTAGACAGAAGGGAAATTATTTTAGACAGAAAGGAAGCTACCTTGGTTAAAACCTTTACATTCCTTTCTGACCTCTAAATAAATCTGTACAAAACTATTGTTCAGAATTTCTAGGTAGGATTTGTAGTCCAAAACCTTGTTTAGTTTTTAAAAAATCCTCCTACTTTTTGTTCCGAGAAGGAATTTAAGGTTATTAAACTTTTAAATATATTGTTTGTTCATCTCAGTAATGCCTGGCACATAGTAACCACTTAAGAAATATTTGTTGTATAAATAAATGAATGCACGAATATAAGTCCATATTGAATTGATAAATGTATATATGTTTATATTATGCAAAGCTTTAGACTGTGATATCATTAGTTTTTTCATTGTAACTTGAAGAACTCATGTATTCTATATAGTTGCAATCAAGGATGGATGCCTCCACCCCCAAAAACGCATCTCTAAACACTGTATTTCTTAGCAAGTTCTTAATTCGATATTTATAAAGCTAATGAAGCCTCCATTTCAGAACAAGACATTAAATTAAAAAAAAGTGTGAGCTGTAATGACTGGTTTCACAGTATCAATATGGCAATTAATATAAGAACAGCATTCAAAATCTATTTTATTACAACATATCCTGTTAATTTGGAAATGCTTTTGAGAAAATCAAAACACGTTTAACAAAATAAGTTTCATATTGAAGCATGTTTTTGTCAGTTTGACAGGGATTATGTTATGGTTTGTATTAACCAAAGCTTTTTTCTTATTCACAAGTGTGAATTAGATTGTTAGTTATGCAATTGCCACTTGTCTTTTTTATTCATTGATTTGATTTTCTTAAATTAGCAGCCATTAAGCGATATTAATAATGTACTTTTAAAACAAGAGATCCCTTAATGTAATCTATTTCTCTAGTCTCCAATAATTGGAGACTTTAAAAAATTATATTTTTATTGAAATGTCATTTGATTTTTGGAATTCTGAAATTGTTATCTTCTGGGACTCAATATTCTTTTTATGTCCATTACTACCCTACTAAAATATCATATACTTTTTTATTAAATACATGATTTTTATGTGCATTAGGGAAATTAAGTTTGACACATTCTCTTTTTGATATAAATATATGATAAATAGTCATGACTGACTTTAAATCCATAAAATTTTTTACTTTTATATTTTAGGAAAAAGTATTGGGGGTCGTGGACACAAAATTAGCGACTATTTTGAAGTAAGTTCATTGAGGTTTATTCTACAATTCCTAATTCAATATGATTCTGCTGTGAGCTGAAATGATTTCTTTGAAGCACAAGGTTAACTTTTGATTATCTACTTGATTAGAGCAGAACTTTAGTACTTTGTGGTATCCTTTCTTTCTAAGAACATTAAAATTTACTTTTATATTGGTATGGCACATCATAATTTTCAACGTACTTTCTCACGTATTTGCTTATAACAAAGTAGTTAGGCCAAGTAGTCATTAGTGTTTCTGTCTCACAGACAATGAAACAGAGGACCAGAGATGTAAAGTAGCCTATGTAAAGGCAAATTCTAAATGCAAGAGCAAAGAGCAGAACTTGAAGTCTACCAGCCCTCTAGTTCAGAATTCTCTCTGCTAATAGAATAGGTTCAATCATACTGCAGCACCAGTTGAGCCCTGTGGATAAGGATTCAATAATTGATAGAGATGTGAATTTAAGAGTCCCTGAAAACAATAAAGAGTGGTAAATTTAGGCTCTTACCAAATCTGCTGCTTCCTTGTTTCTATGTAGAACCACTTTTGGCTACCACTTTTACTTTAGAAAACATTAGATTGTTTGTTTGTTCATTCACTCATTTCTTTTGGCAGCTGGCCAGTACAGAGATCCAAATCTCTGACCTTAGTGTTATGAAGTTGCGCTCTAATCAACTGAGCTAACTGGCCAGCCCTAATGTTATTATTTAAACAACAAACACAATCTACTCCAGTGAAAAATGTTTATATTTACTTGAGAGTGAAAGCAGAATTGGCTGACTAGGGGAAGGGCTGAATTAAAAAAAATTTTTTTTAATCCTCCAAGCTTGCTTTCTTGGGTTTACAGAATCTAAAGTAAAACTGTTGCTGACCAGGAGATACCAATGTTTTTAGTTGAGATCAGTCACTCATTGTTAATATCATTAAGAACCTTTGCCAAAGGAAGGATTAGTTCAAATAAACAAATGTCTCTTCAATGCCTACTGTGTGCCAGGCGTTATGCTAGGCACTTATAGATAAAATAAATGAGATGGAATTCCTAGATTGTGGGAAATGGTTTAATGAATACACTTAAGAAGTCCTCATCTTGGCAGTTCATGTTAAAGTTAAGTGAGTAATTAAACAAAGAGTGATGAAGTGGACAATAAACTACACCCCCCAGAGGTAGCAGCAAATTTTCTTCTTCTCCCATCCTTGGTACAGAAACATGAGATAGTAGAAACGGTAGCTATGGAACAGATTAATTGGCTTCTCTTCATATGCAGCTGGATCATGTGCTTTGTGAGAACTGATTTTTTGAAGATTTTGTGCTGTTAGAGAGAAGGGACTTGTTGTATGTAGTTCTCCTATAGAAAGCCATGAACATTTGGATATTTAACAGATCTTGAGAATAATGGTTCTATTTTAAGATAGTTGATTATATTCACTAACATCTGTATGTAAACATTTTTAAGTTTCTTGGAACTAGGGACCATATCGGTTCAAGAAACATTTATAGGAGAACTGTGCTGAGATTTGGGGGGAAAACAAAATGTGTCCATTGCTTTGAGGGAATTTATTTGTCTTTGGGTTGACCATAATTAATTGTAGTCAGAATGTAGAGTAATAAGGATCTTTATAAGACATAGTCTTGTCATGTTCTTATGATCAGTGTTCTCTTGTTAGTCTTTTAGGACTTGGCTGTAACCTTAGTTTTGCTTTTTCTGGACCCATTTAAATAACTACTTGGTTTAATTTAAAGTAAGATATATTTAAATTAATTCTTAATGCCATGTCTAAAATAACAGCTATGTAAACCTGCTTTAATAAATAGTGATATTTCCTTTTTCTTTTTCTCAGTACCAAGGTGGGAATGGTTCAAGTCCAGTAAGAGGCATACCTCCTGCAATCCGTTCTCCTCAAAATTCACATTCACATTCCACTCCTTCCTCCTCTGTAAGTTTTTATCTTTCAAGTTTTTCATGTATACTCTTTGTGTAACAGGTTGCTGGAAAACTTTTATAATTTGTTGTTTTTATTGAGAACTAGTGTTTATCATTTTAAAAAGTAATTTTTGTGAGGTGAGTTGAATCCTTTTTAATGACCTGATGCTGTTAGAACTTTATTTCTGAAAGTGAACTTCTTAAAGATTTTCTGAATTAATTATATCGAAGAAGTATGTTTCTGTGAAGTAATGCTGTTGAGCCTGTGGGACTAAAATGAATACTCTTTTACCAGTCCATATTCAGTTATTAATTTCTAATTTCTAACTATCTTATTAATTAAATTTCTTAACCACTAAAATGATAGCATAATTTCTTTCTGGGAATTCTTAAGAAAAAGTCAAGCTGTCCAGTTCAGCATAGGAGGAGGATCTTGGAACTAAAAATTATCTTACAACATTTTGGTTTGTTTCTAACATTTTAAGATGTAGTTCCCTGAGCCGGCCCGGTGGCGCACTGGAGAGTGCGCCGCTTGGGAGCGTGGCGGCGCTCCCGCGGAGGGTTCGGATCCCATGTGGAGACCGGTTCCCGCTCACTGGCTGAGCGTGGTGCAGGCGCAACACCGAGGGTTGCGATCCCGTTGCCGGTCCCTGGTACGGGCGCGACACTGAGGGTTGCGATCCCATTACCGGTCAGTAAAAAAGACAAAAAGGAAAAAAAAAAAGATGTAGTTCCCTGCTGCTCTCTTTTTTTGTTTTAACCCTCCTTCAACTCACAAGGATATAGTTCTTTTGTATGCATTGTTTTGCATATTGGATTTCATTTTTTATTTACTTTGATTTTGTGGAAGTTTAGTGTCCAGCCAGAAAAACAATATTGGTTTTCAGGAATTAAAGATTTTTAAAAATCAGAATTTCACTTATTTACTCAAGTATGCTGTTTTTATTTCCTATGTCCCTTCTAGTCCTTATCTGTAATCATACTTCATTATGTCATGCTCATTTTATACCTTGGGACTCATCAAATTGCCATGTATGAAGTACTTGTGTACAACGACTCAACAGTAACTATAAGTAAAGAGTTATAGTTGATATACTCTTGTCACCTGCTGTTTTCAATTAGTGTATATTTATACCAGTGACAACATTAAACCATGAAACTCGTTAATGAATTGATAATCAACTACATATGGGCATGTGTTATTGTCCCAAGTACTAAGAATTCTGTATTAAGATATTTTTATTTTTACTTTTTGAAACATCATAGTCTTTTTAATATTTTTATTTCAGAATAATTTATTTGTCTTTTTTTTGTTTAACAATACAAAAGCATTAAGATTAAGCTCCTTGAAGGCAGGAAATGGTTGTATCTCTCACTGGGTCTTATGTAGGAGGGTACTTAATGAATGCTTGTTGGATAAATGATTAAAGTTTTAAAAGTCAGTTATGTTTCAATTTAGATATTACCCCGATAAAAACTTCTTCAGAAAGTAAAAATTTCTTCAAAAATGTGAAGTAGTTATTGCTAAGTAGAAACCTGCTTTTTTTCCCTTGCTAAGACAAAATTTTTAATATATATTTTTTTAGGTTCGACCGAACAGCCCTTCTCCTACTGCATTAGCTTTTGGGGACCACCCTGTTGTACAACCAAAGCAGTTATCTTTTAAAATTACTCAGGTAAATAATAATTAATTTTTCTTCTATGACTTCTAAGAAACCAGTGGTCACCTTATGTCAAGAAAGCTAATTTACTGAAAAAACAAAACCCAAAATTTATAGAGGAGGGGGTAAGAAATTGAAACACCCAATATACTCTCAGCTTGTCCTTTATTACACACTGGCAAATATGTACATGTGTTTAGCAAGTCAAATAATCAGAACAGTTGTAACGTTGAAGACCGCTTGCACATAACTGATGTCTTTGTGAGGCTGCTATACTTGTTATAAGTGGACATTAAAGTAGTTCATTTGTGTGTCTGTATTTATGTATATACATATATGCAGCAAATTCAAAAAACGGTTTGAAAATTGAATTATTTGGGTACTTTTTACACTTATTTCATGAATTTTGAGTACTAGGTTTTTTCATTTTAATTTTTTACATGTGACAGTTTCTGGATAACACTTTCTCAGACTGGGGATTTGGAGAGTAGATCCTGTTGCTTGACCACCTCCGCTCCTTTATTTATTTCTATTAGACTTTATTTGTGGGGCCGTGTTCAAACCATGCATCAAACCGTCTTTCTTTGGATGATCCTGAGGCTAGGATTATGAGTACATTCCTTTCAGTGAATGAGCAGCGTATGAAAGGCTTTGCTGTATGAGATGTTTGTCATAGGACACAAAATTTTAGTTAGGAGGAATAAGTTCAAGGGATCTATTGTACATCATGGTGAATACAGTTAAAAACTATATATTATATATACATATAAAAATTGCTGAGAGTAGATTTTAAGTGTTCTCAGCACACCAAAAAAAAAAAAAAAAAGGTAAGTATGTGTGAAGTAGCTTGATTTAGCCATTCCACAGTATATCAGAATATCATGTTGTACACCATAAATATGTGTAATTTTTACTTGTCAATTGAAAAAATAATTTAAAAAAAGGTTTTGCAAACTTAAAATCAACTAAGTGATATATAGCACAAAACAGTGGATATATTCAGTTTTAGTGAGGAACATCAATACTCTAAATAATTAATCTGTTAACGTATTTCTTTGTGAGTTTGTAGCATTTATACTTCTGAAATTAATAAAGCTTAAAAGTGCACTAAGACTTTTTGGGATACTCTTTACATACACACAGATTCATGTATTTTTCCATTTTTTTTGAAGTCAGTAAAAGTCTAGTTTTATATTTGCATGCAATAATATATATAATGGAGATAATAAAATAGCTTTCTTTCATTTAGACTGATCTCACAATGCTCAAATTAGCAGCATTAGAAACTAATAAAAACCAGGACCTGGAAAAGAAGGAAGGTCGTATAGATGATTTGCTCAGGGTAAGTAGTAAGTCACAGAGGGGAAAAAATTGAGTCGATTATTTAGCAGCAGTGAAACTGTTGAGAAAATACTTAGCGCTGTAAAGAAAATTCTATAGCTGGAAAAAATTAAGCTTTTTCTGGTAGTGTAAATACATGACTGAAATTACCAACTTTAGAATGAAAATATGTTATTAGCTCTTCAAATGTGAATTGAGAAACAGTTGGAGAAATAGAAGTTTATAAAATTTATTTTTATATGACAGCTATCATAGGGGAGATATTCATTTCATGTTAGTTTAAAGTTAATTGATTTTCTTATATGCCTAACTGACATCTCATACTAAACAGGGTGAAGTGACTGCTACAGTCCTGTGGTATTTTTAATAATAACTTTATTAAAAAATACATCTAAAAGTGTACTTACAATGTGAGTGAGATATAAAGCAGTAGTTCTTACCCCTTGCTGCTCATTGGAGTCACAGGATGGAAAAGTTGGAAGTACTATTGCCCGAGCTCCACTTTGAAGTGTTCTGATCAAATTGATGTGTTGTAGGGCTTGGGCACTGGTAGTTTTAAAAGCTCCTCTGGACTATTCTAATTTAAGTCAGCATTGAGACCTGTTGGTATGGAAACTCAATAAAACCAACACCTGTTATCATATTTTTACTAGTACCTTTGAAACATTCAGTGTCTTTCCTGATCCCATGTATTTACACACTCATCCCTTTACTGTTAGCCACTATTCTAAGTTTTGTATTTATCATGCCTCTGTATTTCTTTATGGCTGTGTTAAATATGTGTACACATTCTTAACAATATTTTGTTTGTTTTTGAACTTTAAGTGAAATTATCTTATATGAACCCTTTTGATCTGCTTGTTTTCACTGAACATTATATATGGGAGAGTCATCCACATATAGGTATAAATGCAGTTTGTTCATTTCACAGCTATGTGGTATATGAATATACCATAATTTATGTGTTTTTCTGCTTTTAGTTGACATTTTGTTTCCACTTTTTCTAATGTAAATGGTTCTGCTAACATTCTTATACATGTCTTCTAGAGCAAATGTGCAAGAATTTCTCTATAGTATATGCTTACGAAAGACATGGCCGTTGTACAGGGCATGCACATCTTCCACTTTACTTTATAATACAGTATCACATTTTTCCTAAAGTGGTTGGATCAATTTGTACTCCCAGCTGCAGTGGGCCAAAAAGAATCCTGTTGTTCCGGGACTGGCCACGGAATCGCAACCCTCGGTGTTGCGCCCGCACCTCGCTCAGCCAGTGAGCGGCCGGTCTGTATGTGGGATCCGAACCCTCGGCGGGAGCGCTACCGCGCTCCTAAGCGGCGCACTGTAGCAGTGCGCCACCGGGCCGGCCCTATATATATATTTTTCTGTCCGTTTTTGTGACCGCGCTCAGCCAGTGAGCGCACCCAGCCAGTGAGCGCACCGGCCATCCCTATATAGGATCCGAACCCGCTGCAGGAGCTCCGCTGCGCTCCCAGTGCTGCACTCTCCCGAGTGAGGCACGGGGTCGGCCCATAAGAAAAAGAAATTTTTTTTTGTCCTTTTTGAGATTGGCTGCACCGCACTCAGCCAGTGAGCGCTGTGAGCACACCGGCCATCCCTATATAGGATCCGAACCCGCGGCGGGAGCGCTGCTGCGCTCCTAGCGTCACACTCTCCTGAGTGCGCCACGGGCTCAGCCCAGAAGATATTTTTAAAAATTGTTTCTTTTTGGCGGATCAGATAGATGTAACATGGTGTCCTGGCTTTATTATGCATTCCTTATTTACTAATTGGTTTTGAGTGTTTTTTAAAATATTCATTAACCGTTTGTGTTTCTTCTGTGAAATAACTGGTTGTGGTTTTTGCCCACTTTTCTTATTGGGTTGTTTGTCTTTTTCTTATCGATGCCAGTTTTTGTTGGTCATTTGTGTTGATCTTCTTCCAGTTTGCGAGTTGTCTTTTCATTTCTTTATGCTGTCTTTTGATAATTAGATTTATTTTTAATTTCTATATAATTTAATATGTCTTTTAGTTTATAGCTTATGTTTTGCTTTTACTAAATTATTATCAAAGATATACCAAAAGAACTAATTATTTTAACTCTATGATTGTAAAGATGCTTTTCTCTGTGTTCTTTTAAAAGTTTTATAGTCTGGTCTTTCAATATAAGTCAGTCTCTTTGGAATTGGTTTTTGGGTGTGGCAGGAAGTAGGGTTTAATTTTAACTTCTTTCAATGTGGATAACCAATTTTCCAGCCCCATTTAATTAAAAGTCCATTTTTTATTTCCTTCAGTGACTGACTGGTATGGAGAACCAAACCCTTGACCTTGGTGTTACAAGGCTGTGGTCTAATCAAATGAGCTAACAGGCCAGCTTAAAAGTCCATTCTTATACTACCAGCTCTATCATAAAGTCTTGTTTCCATATACAAGTGGATCTACTTCTATGTTCTGTATTATGTTCTATTTGTATATTTCTACACTGGTAGGTTCCGTACCATCTTTTATCATTTAACAGCTGTCTTTGACTGTTAGTTACAGAGAGCATAAACAATAGTACTTCATATTTGTTTTGTTTTGGTTTTTGGTGGCTGGCCAATAAACACCACCACTTTAAATGAGATAGAAGTTTATTTTTTGAGAAGATGAGAAATGGACAGCCCAATATGGTTGCTCCACAGTGTCATATGGGACATTGGCTCCCTCATTTTGACTACTTTCCCATCCTTAGTGCATGGTTTTCATCTTGAAGGTTGCATCACGGTCCAAAGTATGTATTAGAGTCACAGTTATGATATCTGTGTCCTCAGCAGAAAGCAGGAAGAGAAGGGGAAGAACAAAAAGTGCAACAATTCTGTGTGCAGCCTTCTGGAACATCCCATTGAACAACTTCTGCTTACTTCTCATTGACCATCCTTAGCTGCAAGGGAAGCTGGGAAATGTGTTCTTCTAGCTGGGTATATATCAATGCAGAATTGAAAACATGGGATTTCCATTATTAAGGAAGAAGGGGTTTTTGCTGATCATAATTACATCCTGATATATAGTTGAACAAATAAATACTCCCTCCTTCATTTTGGCCATTAATGGACCTTTATATTCTTAGAGAGATTTTATTTTTTAATTTTTTTTTAGCATATTCATTGTTACAAATCATACTTATTCTTTATGCGCCTTATCCAATCTCTCCCCTTCCTCCTTCCTCCATCACCTTCCCTTTCCCCTTCTCCCCCCTCGTCCCCCCTCCCCCCTGTAATAACCATAGATTTGTTCTCTCCATCTGGTAGAATAACTGTTCCTCTGTTGATTTGTTGTCCAGATGATCTGTCCTGTACTGAGACAGGTGTGATCAAGTCCTCCCCTCTTACTGTAAATCAGATGCTTTTTCTGTTACTCTGGAGTGTGCTTTGTGGAGAAAGAAGACATTTTTTTTTCTTCCTCTTTTCTTTTTGGTCTCCGGTGGTGCCTCTCCTTGTGTCAGTGCAGTTGAGAGTCTGGTGTGCCATCTGCATGGTGGCTGTGACTGCTGCTATGGAAACTATAGCCCCTTTTGTGGAAGCCTTGGCAATTGCAGTGGCTTTGGTGGGCTACCCATGTGCAAATGGTGTTTTTGGTGTGCTCTTTAGCTGGTTGTGGCTGTGTTTGGCTTCCCCCAGCTCCATGTCTCAGGAGCCTGATGGGGCCTGGGGCAGTGGTGGCAGCTTGCCTTGTTGCTTCTGGGTTCAGCTTTCCCTGGCTCCAGTCTTAGAGAAATTTTAGAATTAGTTTTTCAAGTTACACACATACACACACATTTTGTTGGCGTTTCGTTTGAGTTGAACCTAATAATGAGGGTCTGTTGGTGCTGAATTTCATTTCCTCTCCCTTGAAAAACAATTTTATTGGGTTTATAAATTTAGGTTAGCAGTTATTGTCTCCCAGCACTTTCAAGATATTAAGCCATTGTCTTTTGGCTTCCACCATGACTGGTCTGGACCTGTGGCTCCCCAAGTATGATCCCCAGACCAGAAGCATCAGTGTTACTGGAGGACTTGTTAGAAATGGAAAATTTCAGCTGTTCCCTAGACCTACTGACTCAGAAACTCGGGAGGGTGGGTCCTAGCAGTCTATGTTCTCACCAGCCCTCCAGGTTATTCTCTTGCCACTATACTAGACTAATCCAACTCATCTCCTGAGGATAAGGAAAGGCCATCTTCCCCATTTGGCTGCCTACAAAGTGAATAGAATTGGTATCTTTTTGTCAATTATTGGATGGGTAACTTAGAGTGTCATTCACAAGTTTAATGGAGAAAATTTTTTATTAGTTACATGAGATAGAAGAAAACATTTATTTTTAAGTGTTAGAAACTTTATGTATCATATTTCAGTTATGTTAAACTAAGTGAAGTAGATGGTGTTGTCCCTATTTAGAAATAAGAGAAATGAACTTATGTTCAGATAACTTACTTAATTCTAAGGTTATATACCTTAGATTGTGGATTTGAACATGTGGAGTATGGGTACAAATTCCACGTACTTTCCACTACACAGTTAAGTAACATTTAACAGTATTATCTCATAAAGTAGGCTTGTTTTTTTGTTTGTATGTTTTTTAAGTATCATACTCAAATATCTAATTTTATTAATCCTGTCTATATATAATTTATTTGGAACATTAAAATACTCCTAAGCTCTTCATAAACACAAAGTTTAGACCTTTTGCATTTTCTGCTTATGTTGTAGGCTAACTGTGATCTCAGACGGCAAATAGATGAACAACAAAAATTACTTGAAAAATACAAAGAACGATTAAATAAGTGCATATCAATGAGCAAGAAACTTCTTATTGAAAAGGTAAGTTAAAAGTTCAGTAAATTTTTCCTTTTCTTTAACTAGCCCCTTTGCCTTACATGCTTTTAAAATTTAAGTGAATCCAATTGGATGATGATTTTTTTCTCCTTTTTTCAGAGTACGCAAGAAAAACTGTCAAGCAGAGAGAAGAGTATGCAAGATAGATTACGCCTTGGACACTTTACAACAGTTAGACATGGCGCTTCATTTACTGAGCAATGGACGGATGGTTTTGCATTTCAGAATCTTGTGAAGTTAGTCATTTTTACATTGAAAAAAATTTAGTATTTGGATTTTCATTACTTTAAAAGATTAAATTTGGAGTTATGTTCTTCATCTCCTTACTACTCTTTGAAATCATAGAATTTAATGCATTGAATATGAAACATTAAACATGAAATATTACAATTTTAGCTTTAGCAGCCTTCTTGATTAATTAGCATTCATCTGTAGAGTGTAATATATTATTCTAAATCTGACTTTCCAAAAAATAAACTGACTTTGTAGCTTTATAGATGATATTTTGGAAGGAAAATTGTTGAAAACTTAATTTTCATTGGAAGATTTGTGTGTGCGTGTGTGTGTGTGTGTGTGTGTGTCTCCTGGAATTTTTCTTATTTTTTCCCATTCCTCAATTCTTAAGTGTTAATATTTCAACACTTGCTTGCTAAGGAAAGAACTTTGCTCCTTTGCCTCACATACAGTAGCTTATAAGTTAGTTGATTGAACATGTTGCTTTAGCATTTGTGTTTTAAACTGTAAAACAAAGATATCATTGTTACCATATTTTCTTGAGTTCAGATGGTAGTAAGTAAGGATAGGTTGGCTGTTTATGTGGTAAGGAGTCAGGAGCTATGCTGCTCCTTTTTTGGCTGGAAAATTTGTAAAAATCTGAAAAGCCAGAGTAGTGCTAGCATCTATATTAGCTTTCCCAGAGTCGATCCAGTTTCAGGAAATGGAGGCAAAGCCTTATTTCACATGGTGTTACGTCAACATTGCTGTTTCAAACACTGGTTCCTGGGTCTTGTCATAGAATGGCTGTCTCTTTCAGCAGATTTATTCAGCTTTTGTTCAGCACAGCTATGCCAGGTACACCACAGTGAAGGACAGTGTCCTTGTGATGCTAGAGAGTTTGGGTTTTAATTCTGTGGATAATGTGAGCTATTAAAAGTTTATATGTAGTATGTATGATCAGAATTGAGTTGTAGAATGATAACTGATGATAGTGTGGAAATAATATTGCAAAGAGGAGAAATTGTTGACAGTTAAGATGGAGAAATACCCAGATGAAAGGTGATTAAAGCTCAAGCTAAAATATTAACATTAGAAGTGGAGAGGAGGAAGCCGGAGATAGATTTGAGACAGAGACCATAATTTTTCAGTGTTTTATGAGCGAGAACCTCTGCCACTAAGCCCAGATCTGCAGTTGTCCTGTAATAAATAAAAGAGAGGGTTAAATAATTAATATGCATGGTCTAAAATATAAATTCTGCCAGTAGTTACAATTTCTCATTGAACTTGCAGAAAACAAACTTACTTGCATGTCTTGACTATGACTAATAAGCATTTATTGAATACCTACTGTGTGTTGTTATATATACATATTTTATATTGAGCTGTTTATAATCAGTGATATAATCCAGAGTGGTTAGAGAATGAGATGGAAAATTAATAAATAAAAATTAATATTAATAATCTCTACACTGTATGGTTTTTTTGAATTATCATGTATTAGCTATCTATAATTCCAGTAATTCTTTACTTTCCATTAGGATTTTAATCTTTAGGGTCATTGCTATTTATTTGCATTTATAGCGTCTTGATTGTGTTCTAAACTAGCTTTAAAGTTTACTTAATAATTGAAATTATTTTTTCCTACTTTCAAATGAAAACTAAAGTTTTGTTCTTGGTTTGGTTTTCTTGAGATTTTTATCTATCCTTTTGCTCTTCTACCTAGGTCCTTGATTCTTCACTCCTATCATATTCTGGTACTCACTAGAACCATAGGGGAAGTAACACATGTAAGGCCAATTCTGCATTAGCAGAGTAGGAGTTCTGTAGTTCTGGTTTCAATGGTGGGAGTAGGGGGGTGGGAATGAAACATTTGGCTTGGTTTAAAATCTAAATATCATAACCATGTAAGGTTTTAAAATTGTTTCTCGGCATGGTGAGGTAACCTAGAAAGGAACATGATTACTATTAGAACAAGCTTAAGGTATTATATGATGCAAGGGTTTAAAAAGGTGTCACTGTTACCTACTTAATGCTCTAGTCAGACTGCTAAATCTCCAACTTATATTTTTGTAATAGACATAATATCTAATTAGTTTTTAGAATTAGTGTGCTATTTGCAAAATTGTAAGTTCTTGAATTGGAAGCATTAATAATTTTCTTAATTGCCCATTTTTCGAAGCTATGAGAATTTTTTTTGCTTTTTCTGTTTCTTTTCTTTAAATTGTTAAAGTCCTTTTTTTCACCCTAAATTTCTTATATTAAGGTCAACTTTTATTTCATTTCAAACTATCAACTGCCCATTTCCCAAATTTCTTTTTTTTTGTCCTTTTTGAGACCGGCTGCACCGTGCTCAGCCAGTGAGCGCACCGGCCATCCCTATATAGGATCTGAACCCGTGGCGGGAGCGCTGCTGCGCTCCCAGCGCCGCACTCTCCCGAGTGCACCACGGGCTCAGCCCCCAAATTTCTTTTTAACAGAGGTAAATTTAGAAAATAACACTTTTCATATTAAATTCCTATTTGCCTTTTTGTAAACTTGTCTGCAAATACTATGGATGTGATGTGGTGCATGTAAAACACCTCATAATAAACTGTTCTTTTTGGTTTTTTTTAGCTTATTCATTTATGTCATCCAGTAGATATTTATTGAGCATCTGGTATATGTTGATTACTGTGCTAAGTACTAGGGATATGATAGGCTATAAATAGATATGGTCTCTGTCCTTATGGGGTGATGTGGTCTAACCAGATACATTCCAATGAGTGGCAACCAGATACATTCCAATGAGTGGCAAGGTACAAGGTACCGTGAGATTATATGACAATACACTTTTCTCTAGTCCAGGGATTTGGGGAACACATCACGTAAAAGTGATTGTTTGAAATGAGACCTGAAGGATGAGTACAAATTGGTTCACAAGAGTGGGACCAAAAGGTTACAAATTTATATGATTTTTCATGTTTTTTAATCTATTTTTTTATTCTTTAACTGTGAAAAGTAATGGAAGGTTAATACTGTTTTATTTTTTTATTTTTACATAGGCAACAAGAATGGGTGAATCAGCAAAGAGAAGATATTGAGAGACAAAGGAAACTTCTAGCCAAACGCAAACCTCCTGCAGCTAATAATTCTCAGGCACCCTCTACCAATTCTGAACCAAAACAAAGAAAAAACAAAGCAGTCAATGGAGCAGAAAATGATCCCTTTGTTAGACCAAATTTACCACAACTGTAAGCCTCCGTTTTAAAATTTCCCTTTTTAAAAAATTGTTGCCAGTGAGCATGAATATTAGTAGTGGATGTTATTTATAATTAAATACTTAAATAGCAAAAAATAGTTATGGCCAGGAAGGAAGTCAGTACTGAAAATTTAATTCTAAATTAATAAGCCCCAAATATCTGAATTCTATCATTTTTTAATTTAGGATTTTTTCTCTTTCGTATACAAGGGAGATTGTATTTTTTTCTTTTTAGTTTCTTTTTCTTTTTTTTTTTTCCCCCCTACCTTTTTAAGTGGAGACTTAGCAATTCTTTTTTAAAACAGAGACTTAGCTAGCTAAGAGGAGGCTGGAATCCACTCTTTTTTCCATGTCTGAATCAATTAAAGAGTCAGTTTATGTTTTGATTATTTCATTTCAGTGTTCCCATTAATGTTCCATTTTCTTTCTTTTTTTTTTTTAAAAAGATGACTGGTAAGGTGATCTTCACCCTTGACTTGGTGTTGTCAGCACCACACTCTTCCAAGTGGGCCACGCCCTTAATGTTCTCAGAGAATGTTAACTTAAGTAATGTAACTGACATTTATACATTTTCTCAGCCTATGAAGGCAGTTGATTGGTGGGTTATAGGTATTGTGTATTCCTTTCTGTTTTTTTTTGTTTTCTAAATTTTCTGTTAATGAATTACTCTTTATAATTCAAGGGACAAAGACATTAAAAAAAAATGTATGTGCTTATCATAGGAAAGTTGGAAAATATGGAAGAGAATAATAAAATAATATAGACCATGATTTCATTCCTCAGAGAACATTTGTTAAAATTTCAATGTACAGATACATCCAAACTTACATAATTTTTCTTTTTGAGAAGAACTTATATAAATTAATGTGACTAGAAAACATATATACCCTCTGATGTTGTGTGTAGACGTATTCTTTTCTCCTCTGTTGAAAGATAGTATTTAATCTGTGCCTTGAATCACATCCCCCTACTAAATGAGGGAACTGTTCTATTGATACCTTCTTTGTCTTACATCTTCAACCTGTTGCTCTGTACTGGTTCTTTCCTTTCAGAAAACATATGTAAGCAAAAATTTAAAAAACCTCCCTCAATTAAAAATCCCTGTAATTTCTATGTTCTCTGTCTTCCTCATAACTAGATTTCTTGAAAGAGTTACCTGTGCTTACAGTCTCTTCTGCCTCACCTGCTATTCTCCCTTTTTTAACTGAAATTGTTCTTTTAAAGATTAACTATCTTTTTGATGCTGAATGTCATAATCTTTGAGCCTTTAACTTATTTGGTAGCATTCAATATTGTTGACTTCTTTCTAAAAAAAGTTCTTTCTTACCTTTGTTTTTGAGATACCCTGTTCTAATTTTCATTTATGTGGCTGCATCTTTTCAGTCTCTTCTATGGATGTTGTTTACTTACCAATCTATAAAATGTAGGTGTGTTTTTTTGTTTTTTTGTTTTTTTTTCTTTTTGTCTTTTTTCGTGACCGGCAACGGATAGCAACCCTCAGTGTTGCGCCCGGACCGGACCGGACCGGGACCGGCAACGGGATCGCAACCCTTGGCGTTGCACCCGCACCTCGCTCAGCCAGTGAGCGGCCGGTCTGTATGTGGGATCCGAACCCTCGGCGGGAGCGCCGCCACGCTCCCAAGCGGCGCACTGTAGCAGTGCGCCACCGGGCCGGCCTAAAATGTAGGTGCTTTTTATGGGCCTGTTTTTTTTTCCTTTTTGTCTTTTTTCGTGACCGGCAATGGGATCACAACCCTCGGTGTTGCGCCTGCACCTCGCTCAGCCAGTGAGCGGCCGGTCTGTATGTGGGATCCAAACCCTCGGCGGGAGCGCCACCGTGCTCCCAAGCGGCGCACTGTAGCAGTGCGCCACCGGGCCAGCCCCAATTTATGGGCCTGTTTTAGGCCATTTTATTTCCCAGTCTACATACTCTCCTTGAGTCTTATCCATTCTCAGGGTTTCAGTTATCATGTACATCCTGCTAACATCCAAACTACCATCTCCAGCCTTCTTACGTATCAGGTACTTCTGTATCAGTCTTGAATGTCATATCCCTGCCTAGTTGATATCAGTACTTAAATGCCTCACAGGAACCTCACAGGAGCCTGTACAAAACTGTATTTACTAAAAACAAAACAAAACAAAAAACCCCAAAAACCAAAACCCTGTATTTGCTGTTATCTTTTCCATTTCAGTCTCTCTACGCACAGGTATACCTTACCCCTTTACTGCATTCTCTCTAATAGGGAATGATACTACTCTCCTCTCAAATGCCAGAATTCTGGTTGTCATCCTTAACATTTTAGATATAGATTCCATTGATTTTTTTTTTAATCTGTTAGTGAGTAGGTGGTAATAATCTTATCTTTCAAAGTCCATCTCAAAATCGATTTAACTTTTTCAAGCCTTTCCTGCTTTTCTAAAGCTGTTGTAAGTTGCAGTTAAAACATTTGTCTATGTTTAAAAAAGAAAAGAACTGTACTTAGCAAATGATTTACTTTTTTGTAAATTAGTAAATTTATTGCTTTAGAAAAAACAAACAAAAAATCAGGTGAATTTGTGGGTAGATGAGTGGTTGTATTAAAAGAAAGTATGTACTAGTTTTAATTTCAACCCTAAGGATACCCAATCCCAGATCTCAAATCTGTCCGCTTACCCTTTATGTAAATCCCCAGTGACACCATTCTAACTCAGGTTACTAGTGTCTCTTACTTGGGTTTATTTTTATATTCCACCTCCCACCCCCTTCAACTTTTGGTCTAGTCCTGCAATCAATTTTCATGCTGCAATCAGTCATTTTCCCTAATATAAGTATATGATTCTTTTCATTTTCTTCCTTATAACCCTAACGTAGCTCTCCAGTACTTGAATGATAGAGTCCAAACATCTTAATGTGTCTTATAAAGTATGTTTGATCTGGCTCCTTCTCACCACCCCCTGATCACCACCAGCTTTCAAACTCCAATTCATTGTCTTAATTTCTGTTTATCTTCTATGTTCCACAGTAGATGTTGCCTGCTCCTGAAGGCTTTTGCTTAACCCCCGAAGCATGGGAGTTGTCACTTTGAGGTATTACCATAGCGCCCTCATCTCTTCAGTCACAGCCTCACCATCCACTCAGTTAATGATAGTAGAAACCTGCAAGTCCTCCTACATGTTTCCCTTTCCCTTTCTGTGTGTCCATTTCCATAACATTTTCATATCTGTCCCATTTTCTCCATTTTCATGGCCACTCTCTTAAAATAGGACCTCACTTTTTTTAAGCCTAGATTACTGTTTCTTTCATGTTTCATGTCACTTTCATTTTTAACCTTCTTCAGTGGCTTTCAAGATAAAATCCACCCACATGAAGACCCTTTATAAAACTTCTCATTTTTCTCTTTAGCCTCATTCTCCAACATTTGCCCTACGTGTTAAACTCTTTCATTTCTCTAAGACTGTGCTTTTTTCTTCTGTGCCTTTGTTCATATTGTTCCTTCACTGTCTTAATCCGTCTCATTTCCTACTCATTCTTTAAGACTTGGCTCAAATACTAACTTCAGTGGGAAGCCTTCTCAAACTTTTTTTCTTCTCATTTTCTCCCCATTTCCCCTCATGTTAGGTGCTCATGGCCTGTCTGTATTGCAGCATTTGTTTCACTATTTCATCTCTATGGTTCCAATATCTAGCTCAGTTCCTGGTATATGGAAAGTGGTCAATAAGTACTAAATTATAATACATAGCATTGATTGTGTTTAATTTTCTCCTTCTTTTTTTTTTTGTCTTTTGTCTTTTTCCGTGTCCGGCAACGGATCGCAACCCTCAGTGTTGCCCCCGTACCGGACCGGGGACCGGCAACGGGATTGCAACCCTCGGTGTTGCTCCCGCGCCTCGCTCAGCCAGTGAGCGGGAACCGGTCTGTATGTGGGATCCGAACCCTCGGGTGGGAGCACCGCCGCGCTTCCCAAGCGGCGCACTTATCCAGTGCGCCACCGGGCCGGCCCAATTTTCTCCTTCTTGATAGACCATTTTTGTGGTTTGTCACAGGTGTTTTGCTTACTGCTTGTCTTTCAAGATGCTAACAACACTGACTAGTTTAATAATCATAGTCCTGTCTCATTTCCATCCCATTTTCTTGCATATGTTGACTTAAAACTAACTCTGAAGTGATAAGGCTGTGTTCTTGGAGTGGCAAATGAAGTGATAAATACTACATAGGCATTTGATTACATCTTTATACAAATGAAGATTTTAATAGGGAAACAAGCCACAGAAACACTTTGATTCATATGTATTATAGTTTGAATAATGCTTTTTTGACACAAATTTTAGCAGCTGTACTCAACAACTATCTTCTAAAAACTTCTTTGAATTACTGTTTAAGGGAAACTAGGCTTTGGCTTGTGTGCAGAATATCTGATATAATTAGAATATAGATTATGAATCTTTAGTTATTTTTCAATCAAGAAATTAACATAAAAAATGAAGTTACTGCTGTGTAGTGGTTAGATCTGTAGATTCTGTAGTCAGACAGATGTGGACTCCAAACTTGACTTTTCAGATTGTTATTTTTGGTAAGTTATTTTACTTTACGCCTCCATTTCCAAGTAAAAGTGTCTACATCATAGTGTTGAGAAGGTGTATGAGGTAGTGCACATAAAGTGCTTAGATGGTTCCTGGCTCTTATTTTTAACTACTAGCAAGATTCAGTCAGTTTTTTAGGTAGTAGTTCCTAATTTTAGTTAAAAAGACTTTTTATTCAGAGTAAATAGTTGGATAGCTGATATTATGTCTGGATAAAGTCTAATGATCCTTGCATTGATTGTCCATTATTAATACATTTCTATCAAGATTTTGACATCATGCAAAATATACTTCAAATTAAGTTTTGATTGTGTCATGTTTCACAGGATGATTGCAAAGTAAATAATAATATTTTACCTCATATTGAAATTATTTAGTAGATAACTTATATCACTTCTAAATAGCATATAATCGCCATTTTAAAAAATTAATAAACTTTTTTAGAGCACTTTTATGGTTACAGCAGAATTGAGCAGAAAGTATAGAGAGTTCCTATATACCCCCTGTCCCCACACAAGCACAACCTTTCCTACTATCAGCCACTTGCACCAGAGTGGTACATATGTTATAACTGATGAACTTACATTGACACATCATCACCCAATATCTGTAGTTTACATTAGGGTTCACATTTGGTTTTGTACATTCTGTGGATTTTGACAAGTGTATAATTAATTTTTAAAAATCCGGTGTGAAAAATCTTTCTTTCATTGAAGTATTTTAATTCATATAATTATTTATTGGGTCTTAAATTTGGTCTTTATGCTCTCTCTTTATCCTGTCCAACCTGTATCCCGTTTTCTTTTTTTTTTTTCTGTATTAGAAATATGAGTGTACACACGCACGCACGCCCCCTACAAGTGGTAAAAATGAACATTCTTGTCTTGTTCCTGATATTAGGGGGAAATGTTCTAGTCTTTTACCATTAAGTATGATGTTAGTTGTCTGCTTTTTATAAATGCCTTTTATAATGTTGAAGAAGTTCCCTTCTATTCCTAGTTGTTTTTGGTTCTTCAAAGGCAGACTAGTCTCATCTCCTCTTCTCCCTACCCTCCATTTAAAAAATATGATTCTTAGTGCATGGCTCATGGTTAAATGTTCAGTAAAGGTTAGCTAAATTGTAATAAATAAATGGGTTATGCTATTTTATTTTTCTTAAGTGCCTCAAACAATATATTTACCATAACTTGTATTCTTTAGCTTTGAGGCTTCAGGTTAGTTTCCTGCTTAAATAGAATGTCTTCAGACATTTAAAATGTTTATTTTTTTAACTCTTACGATGTTTCTAATGGAAAATGAACTGAATTTCTTTGGGATTTTTTTGGTTGTTTTCCTTGAATACTTTTTCTTTAGAATTAGTAAATTTAATTAGCATCTAGCTAAAGGGAAATAGCATTTATACTAAATGTTGCTGAACCAAACATAAATCACACTTGAGTTGGGAGCTTAACCAAATACCCTCAGAACACGTAAGTAAACTAACAAACAAGGGATTTGAAAATGATAGATAATAGCAATTCTTTCAGAATTGGTGTATGAAATAGAAGGTTTTTTTGTTGTAGAGTGATTTTTTTCCCCCTTTTACTTTATCAGAATAGAGAATCATTTTTTCTTAAGAAATGTTATAAAGTGTATAAATCTTGTTATGGTTGTACATATATTAAACTGATTATTTTTCAAAATAAGAATATTTGAAATTAATAGTAAAATAACTATAAAGCACTTTCAAGATTTAAGGTCTTATGTCTTTTTATTTCTATAAAGAATCTGAAGTATAACAATTTGGTACTTTGACGGTGGTTTTAACATTTCTTTATCTTGCTTATCCCCTCCTAACACACTAAAGCAGAGTAGGGGAAATGTCTTATTTATTCATTCATTCATTCATTCATTCATTCATTCATTCATTCATTCATTCATTCATTTTCTTTCTCTCTCTCTTTCTCTCTCTCTCTCTCTCTATCTCCTCTCTCTCTCTCTCTCTCTCTCTCTCTCTCTCTCTCTCTCCCTCCCTCCCTCCCTCCCTCTCCCTCTCCTCTCTCTCTCTCTCTCTCTTTCTCTCTCTCTCTCTCTTTCAAACCAGAGCCCAAACTGGACTGACTCCCTTTGCAGTGATTTCCCATTTTCAAACCAGAGCCCAAACTGGACTGACTCCCTTTGCAGTGATTTCCTATTACTTTTAGAGTAAAATTGAAATTCTCTTGCTTGGCCCGTAAGTCCGTATGTGGTCTGGCACCCTGCTTGCCTCTTTTACTTCTCACAACCTTTTTCACTACATTCTGATGCTCACATTTTTTTTTTTTTTGCTGCTGCTTATATTACTAAGACCTCTTACTTTAGGGTGGGGACTTTGCACTTGCTGTAACCTGCCTCTAGAAAGTACTCCCCCAGATTCTGTCATGGGTGTCTTTTTGATGTTTAGATCAAGGTCACTTCCCTAAAACCCCGTCCAAATTAGTGTAATACAGTTAGTCATTATCATACCACCCTTTTTTGTTTTTTATGACAGTATTACTTAAAATTGTTTTATTTCTTCATTAAATTGTTTCTACCTCTTTACCCCCCATAATAGAGTGTAAGCTTAAACTAAAATGGAGGGAGAAATTTTGTTTTTCATTGTATCCTTAGGATCTAAATTCTAGAACATTGTTTGATACATAGTACTCATTAAAACAGCTACAAGTATTAAATGTATTTTGAAGAATATCGTGAAGAGTTTTGGCCTAAAAGTTTTCAAATTTTAGTACTTCCATTTGATTCATTGTATTTTGCTACTTACTAATAAGAAATAAGTATTAATCTCAATATACAGAATTAAAATTTCACTTTTGACAGGTTGACTTTGGCAGAATATCATGAACAGGAAGAAATTTTCAAACTTAGACTAGGACATCTCAAAAAGGTACGTGAAGCACATAATGCTGTATTTTTAGTTTAATTTGTTACCAGGGTTTGTGGAAAGTTGTGTTGTAAGTCTCTTATTTAAGAAGCCAAAATTTAAGAGAGAAAGATCCCAGATTAAAAAGTAATGGTAAAAAAAGAGGTGCGATAAAGTTGCATTTTTATGTTGACTGTATTAAAATAACATTCTTTTACCTTGTGGCAGCTTAAAAATAATTGAGATGCTGATACGCCATATCCCAATAATGGAGGAGTGAATTCTGGCCAGACCTCCAGGGTTCTTAGATTTCTCTAAGTACATCCTTTTGGTAAAAAGTGCTTTATTTTAAAGATGAAATTTATTATTCCATATTGTTTGTGTCCATTTTATAATAAATTGAAATAAGAATTATAAATAAATAGCAAACTTATTTTTTTGGCTTAACTTTTAATTTGTTGAATGTTCGATTAAATGTTTCTGTTAAAATATGTACATGGGAAAATTTAACAGCCTAATCATCAGTAATAGTATAAAGTGATATAATTTAGAAAAAACTGTTCCTATGTGTTATTGCAGCAGCTTTTATATAATGTATAGCTTTGTATTTGCTTGTAAACTCTGAAATTGTAATCCTTCCATTGTTTTTACAGGTCTTAACTTTAATTCAAACCATTTCAAAGTAGTAGTAATAACAGAGTAGATTTTCCCCCTCAAAATGAAGTTACTGACAGATGTAAAAATCTTTTTCTTTTACGTAATTTTTTATTCTGCTTTCTGCTTGTCAGGTTATTTAAATTTTCTTAATAGGCTGAATTATAGCAAAAATTGAATTGGTAAACTAATTGAAGGTAGTTTCTATGAAGTCATCTCCCTGGGCTAGGGTGAGATGGGGCAGAAAAACTTTCTGGTAGCAGCTTCTATCACACTGTATACTAACTCATTTTTGGAATGTTGTGAATATTCTGAGAACCCCTGCCATTTAATTACAGGGAATAGAAAAAATTATAAGTATTTTATATATATATAATTTGCATTAGTGTTCTTTACTATGCCATATATGTCTGTGCCACTGCTCAGAAAGCTTCAACCTAAACTACTTGAACAGTGAATTCTGAAATGATTTATTTTGGTCTTTTTAAGTCCTATTCTGTTCTCTTGTAGTTATTAACTATTTTTCCTGCTCTTTGTAGACAACTGCAGTCTATTCTCTATAGCAGATGGAGCTACAGAACTATAATAATAATAGAACTATATAGTAGAACTATAGAAGGAAAAGAGGGGACTTTTAGTACAGACTGAGTGACAAGTATTTGTGTGTCCACCTAAGCTATTTTGATAATGAATTCATGGGGATCTATGCTTTATGTCCCATGTAAAGATTTACCAATTATTTTCTAACCAGACTTTGGTGATAAAGTAATACTAAGTATATACTTAGGTATACTCATGCTAAGTATGTGCTTAGAGCTTTGACTGGAGGGTTATTTTCACATATAATTGCAAATTTTAAATTACTCTTTCTAATGATGACATTTTACATGTGTGCCTTATTTTATGAACATTAGTTATATACAGTTTGAAATTGTAAAGCAGTTAAATTAAGAATTGGCTATTTGTATAACAAAAATACACTTTTGAAGTCTTCAAAGGAGAGTTTCTTTTTGTTTTTGGTTGGTTGGGGGTCGAATGATTTTTAAGCCTTCCTGGTACTTTGAAAATATATGGTTTCTATGAAAAACACTTCTGTTTTCTAAGGTAAGGTATACTTATGTGTCTAGGTATTATATAAACATTTGTAAACTGTTCTGGAATACTACACCTTCTCTTCTAACCTCCATATTATCCTCTTTCCCAGTGTTTGACTTCTCCATTTTTCTTATTTATTCATTCTTTCTAATAATTGTCCTCTCTATAATCTTTTTTCCTGCTTTTTTTCCAGCTTTTTTCAAATTTACTGAGCAGTCTTAGGTTTCTAATTTTATCTTCTTCTTGACCGATTTGCAACATAATTTTCCTTTCTTTGACCTTCATCATGGAATATTTTGGGAGACTGGATCAACTAATAATATTCTCATGTTTTGAATACTCACATTTTCTTCTGAGTGACAATTTTGGGTGAGGAGAATGAATGCATTATAAAGAAAGTTGCTAGTAGTACATACTGAGGACAAAATTGAGCAAGTAGTGTCACCTTAGAGCACAAATAAATTGCAGTTGCCTGCTTGCAACTGAGTATTACTTTTTGAGTTATACAGTTAAATAATGAACAGTTCCATGAAGTTCTCACATGGAGACAAAAACAAGAAAAAAAAAATAACAGTAAGTTACAGGCATTAAAAATAAGTTATTTGGCTTTCTAAAGCACAGTTGGAAAATAAGCCATTAAAATAGGTCATTCTGTTTTCTAAAAAAGAGATAAATTGGACAGACTTTTAACACACAGAGGATAGGCTTGAGTCGAGAAAAGATGTTACCACCTCTGTCTTATCAGCTCCCTATGCTCCTGGGTTTATTAAGCTAACATGAAGTCTGTTCCTCAACTTCTAAGTGTGTAGTGTTTACTGGATCTGATCCAATCTGTGAATATTTGATGTCCATATAACCTGCACAGAAAATAACCTGTGGTTCATCAGTTTAGGGTTTAAATTTGGAGCCTGACATACCAATGCAAGGGTGATTCTCTTGCTCTATCTTCTTTTAATAAAGTCTTAATGTTAAGTAGAATTAATTATTTGATTAAATATGTTAGCACTGAAGGACGTAACTTCCTTTGTTGAGCAAGTCCATACCATATGGACATATGAGAATAGCTAGAAGTGCTATTTACTTTTTCTAGAAATAGATAATTTATAACGTGCATTATATTTCATAATGATAATCATTATAATAATTGAATAGGTTACTGAAGTATTAGAAAGTATATTTACCACTGAATAAATTATAAAGTTTAGTTCACATTCTATGCTACTCTGTAGGGTTAGAAAAATAATAAATCCAAAGCTGTTAAAGTGTGATAGAGTAAGGAAGACAGTCAGGCAGAAAACTCCAAAAGTAAGAACATGGCTAAAATAGATAGATGTTTCTAGTTACCACCAAAAAGTAAATGTTATTCTTACTTAAGGGCTTATTAATTTTGTCTTCTGAGATTAGGAAAATCACTATGCATCATCACTTTTTTTCACTATATCAAGAATTCTTTAATATTTATTGTTTTAGTTGTTATCAGTTTATACAATCATTGCTTATTCATTCACCAAGTGATCTATTTTCATACCATGCCTGATACAGACATGATTCAAATTCCCATTTCAAGAGAATTACACACTACTTTTTATAGACTTTGAAGTTTTAACCATTCTTGAGTGAACATTAAAACTTTTGAATGCCAGGATCTTCTGAATATGCTCTGTCTGACGTAATGTCACAGATAGTAGGTGACAAAGCCAGAACTTGAATCTTTTCTCACTCCCTTTTCAATGGCTATATCCTGCTTTATACCTAGAATTCTTTTGTTGTATGTGAAGAGCAAGTTGATTCTTTGTATTCAGAAGAGTAAATTCATTTGTAGCTTCTGTTGCATCTCTCTGAGAGTAGGGGGAATGTTTGCTCTTCCTTAAGTTTTCTTGGAAACAAGCTATTTCATTTTCATTATAGATATAAAAGGAGAGAAGTTTTAAGTTGTTTTTCACACACATTCTTCTCACATACTTTCTTGGGAGTTATGTTAGTGACTATTGTATCAGCTAGAATATTTCTTTATTTTAACTAATGTACTGATTTTAACTCTAAATTTATTTTTAAAGATCAACACAGAAAGCACATTTTCTGCAAAAAGTATAAATATTCTCAAATAATTTTTTTTATATCTTAAGGATTTCACAGAATGAAACAGAATAGAACTATATAATAAAATATATGGAGACTATATAAAATATTCCTGAAACTATTTCAAAATTTTAACGTAATTTCGTTACCAGTAATTATGTATAAATTCCCCAATTATCACTTATTAGAAACATTTAGTTGCGAAGTGAATAATTTCCTATCTTTAAAAAGTCATTTCTTTGAGACAAAGCAACTAATGATCCTATTTTATATACCTGTACCCCATGTGGAATAGTATATTCCACAAACAAACTAACAAACCATTGTACCAGTTTGTTTTTATGGTTGATCCTGACTTGATACCAGTCTTTGGTAAATTCTGGTTGTGAGAAAACACTTTATCTTTGTGATTTGAGGAGGTCTGCTAGGTTGTTTTGTATAGTCAGATCATTATTTTGGAGTTGAAGAAACTGTGGATGTGCTTTCAAAGATTGTTACTAAACACATGTAACTTAAAAAAACCCAAAACGCTGGAAAACCAACTTCTTTGTAATAGATTCTCTGCATAGTCATTATATTTTTAAAAACATACAAGTTTCCAATTATAATACTTCAAACTGATGAGGAAATAAGAATTTTGGAGGTTATTAGGACCAATTACTTGTTTTCACACTACTGTTACTCACGTTTGTGATATGAACAGCATGTGGTCATGTGTAGCTTTTTACTTTCTAGGCTTCAAATTTCATCGCCTTCTTGATTTTAAATATTTGATTAGTTGGAAAGAATGCATATAGAAAGTTTGACATCTTGGTATGGATTATTAAATAGTGTAAAAAGGATTGGCTCTGGGCCAGCCCGGTGGCGCACTGCTACAGTGCGCCGCTTGGGAGCGTGGCGGCGCTCCCTCCAAGGGTTCGGATCCCACATACAGACCGGCTGCTCACTGGCTGAGCGAGGTGAGGGCGCGACACCGAGGGTTGTGATCCCGTTGCCGGTCCCGGTCCGGTACGGGTGCGATACTGAGGGTTGCGGTCTGTTGCCGGTCACGAAAAAAGACAAAAAGGAAAAAAAAAAAAAAAGGATTGGCTCTAATGTGTGTGTTTTGGGTGTGTGTGTGTGTGTGTGTAAGAGAGAATGTGTTTATTTGATTTATAAGCCCTGAATATAAGTGCGAAAAGTTTTATTGGAAAAAC